GGATATTTTACAGATGATCTGCTACTTTTATGTGAAATTGTGTTGTCTTTGAATAGATATGAACTATTTTATATATTAAAAGTTGTTTTAAAAATATGCTAAAATATATATAATGCTAATTTTGATTATTGTGCAGTGTAAAAAATCAAATATAATAAATATAAATGAGCAGTTCTCCATATTTTGTGGTTCATGTTTTAATTTTCCCCCATTTATTTCTGCTTTTGAATTTCATTATGTCACCTTGATCTTTCTTCCGACAACTTTTAATAAGTGACATTTACTTACATCCTTATTAGTTTAAAGTGATATATTGTCTGCGTTGGTGACATATATTATGCATCAAAAAAAGCAGCCAGTACATTTTATGTTACTTTACAGACTGATTTCTTTATATATTATTTTTTTATATCTAAAATGTCACTTTGTTAAACTATGGAGTTGAATTTATAACAGAGATAAACATCCCATAATTCATTTCACAATCGTAAATAAACAGGAAACACTTGTGCATCATAAAATATAGAATCTGTTTATTAAAAAACTATTTTTATAGTGTATAATACAGTATGATACACTTTACACAGTAATGTTTGAAAACACTAGTATTTACTAATATTCTATTTAATGTAATTATATCACTATTTTTTTTCATGAGGGTGCTGAGAGTGATGTTTTAGTTATGTATATATGTTCTTGTTTTTTTAACTATCAAGAAAAATGACAGTATTGAGAAAACAGAAGTTGAGAAAGCATCTGATCATAACAATGTGGCAATATTTGTAAAAGTCCTGCAATTTGGCAACATTATGATGACAGATGAATAAATCTGAGACTATATACTTGCAGAGAGTTAGGTTAGGTTAGGCAAAATTATTTTTATAATATTTTTAGTGATGTGCTTGAGGTAGATTTATTCTTATGCTTTTATGAAGTAGCATTTAACTTTAGAACCCTTTAGACCATGCGCTGGACTGTTCCTTTGTGTTTTTACTGGTAATTCCTTGTAAATAATTAATCACTTAGGCCTATATTTAATTATTCATGTATGATTTATGTACAATAATTAACAAATAAAATGATAAACTAAAAAATAATTCATTCATTCATTTTCTTTCTGGCTTATTCCCTAAATTAATCTGGGGTCGCCACAGCGGAATGAACCGAAAACTTATCCAGCAGGTTTTTACGCAGCAGATTCCCTTTTAGCCGCAACCCATCTCTGGGATAAATCCATACACACTCATTCACACTCATACACTACGGACAATTTTGCCTACCCAATTCACCTGTACCCCATGTGTTTGGACTGTGTGGGAAACCGGAGAACCCGGAGGAATACCACGTGACCAAGAACATGCAAAGTCCACACAGAAACGGCAACTGACCCAGCCGAGGCTCGAACCAGCGACCTTCTTGCCGTGAGGCGACCACCTACTACGCCACTGCGTCGCTAAAATATAATCAACAAAGAAAATATAAATGTAAACTGTAAATGAAAATGTTGATGAAAAAGCTTTTTTATAGGCTGTCTTGGTCCATTCACTTTAAAATAACTAACACTGTACAGCTCTTTATATTTAGGCTAAAGCACTGCTTTATTTATTTATGCTTGTACTTTCATTGGAGTTGAGTTTTATTTCTTTAGTTTTAATTTCCTAAATGGATCCTCATTGCATTTAACAAGTTTACAATGATATTAAAGCTTGATAACAAGTTTTTATTGATTCATAAAGGAATTATCAGGCTTTGTTTCGTTATTTCATCTTCATTTTTAAGCAGCAAGGTATTTACAGCTACTTTATGTTTTTGTCCATTCACATCCAATCCCTTTGTGGCCCCTGGCGGCATTGTCACAAGCTGCTGTTACACCTAAACACATTTTCTCAATCTCTTAGTCCCACCGTGGCGTCACATTCGGTGGTAATGGTCATTTTGAACTGTCACCCACTGTATTATGCACACACACCTGTAATAGTGAATAATACATTTAAAGGTGACCTATTAAGCTAAAATAACTTTTATTAAGGGGTCAAACACAGCTGTGTGTAAATATAACCAGCTTCAAAAGCTAAAAATATATTATTTTATTTTTTAAAATCACACCTGACAAAAACAGTCTGCAGAAACACTTTGATTGACATTCTCCGTTTGTATGTGTCATCAGAGAGGAAAGCCCCGCCCACCAGTGACCATCTCTCCTTCATTAGCATAGGGCGTTCGTCTTGTTTTTGAATCTGCCACTATACTTACACATAGGCATCTGTAGCTCCGCCCTTTAAATTCTAATTTGAATTTAAAGCGACCAAAATGGCATAAAGCCTAAAAGGGTCATTCTCAAAGAGTTATAAAGCATTAATTGTGTGTTATTTTGAGCTGAAACTTCACATACACACTCTAGTGACATCAGAGATTATTTTACACATTGTAAAATGGGCATAATAGGTCTACTTTAACGAATAAAATCCAAGATCACACTGATTCCAGCTCAAAAAGATTTATGTATTGTAACTCTAACTTAAATAATGCTTGTAAAGGCCATGTATTAAAGTGTCTTTATTTTTCAGTTTCCATCACAGAGAAAGTTCAAGAATACACTCCTACTTTGACAACATTGAGCATTTCTATGGTTTTATTGATAGGATTATTATGCAGAGTTAATTTTATGTCTGACTGGGCACCTCCAATTAGCCCGTCCCTCAATTTGAGAGGCAATACTTTCAAACAATCCGAAATGGCTTTTACTTCCAAATAAATATGCATGCGAGGCTAAAACCCAATAATGACAGAAATGATTTTCATAATTGAAACCTACTCGACGCAGTTAGCCGGAATGCACATTTGCATAAATTACACTTATCAATGGCACAGCCGTTATTTCCATTATCGATGGCGATGCTTATATAACTCAAACACGTAAAAAAAAAACGGCGTAACTTTAAAGTTTAAAATAGAGAAGGCAACTTTACATTGATTAATATGCTGCTTTTGTCTACACTGTAAAAAAAATCTGTAAAATAACAGTTAAATTACTGTATATTTTAACGGATTTTTTCCGTATACACGTATTACGGTTGTTTTTCCGTTTATATACATTTTCGAATTGCATTATGGGAAGGGGATCGCAGCTCAGGCAGCGTTTGATGGACACCGGGACATATTTCTTCCTCTGTTTTTTCCCTGGTAAGTACGATTAATAAAACATATAACTATATTTTAGTTAAAATATTGCTTTATTACATTTGTATCGTTATTTAAAATGATTTTTGTCTTGTCTGAAGCGGCCATGGAAAGTACAGCAGTAAATTACGTTTAATATTGTTAACAAGATCAGACTTTATATCATTAAGATCAAACTGAGCTATGAGTGGTTAAATGTAATTTAAACAAGCATTTATCTAATGAATTTTTACCTTTTATGCGTTTTCCTTATCAGTAAATATGATATCTGTTCATTTACAGTTGTTTGTCCGTATTTTTCTAAACTGCCGTGCGCGGGAAGTGATGTGACGTCCCAATCACCCACTCCCTCCCTCTGCACCTGCGTAAATCTGACTGGATTAACGATAAACGTCAGCTTGTCAGTGAGAGTGTAAAAGGTATGTTAATTATTTTATAGAAATAAAAATGTTTTCTTTGTACAGTGCATTGAACAATGGATAGCATTCAAAGTTTGTGACACTGTGTAGTTTGGTTGATATAAGTTATAGTGATGAAGGTGTATTTCGATGACTGGTTAACGTGAACCTAACGTTAACGTGTTTCAAACGCTCGTAACACCTGACCGTCTGTGTTTGTTTGCATATTAATAAATAATTTCATATTTTTACTGACGTTATCAAATGTAAGCTTTAGTTTGACCGACGTATTAAGGCTGTGTGACCGAGTTTCAGGGAACAGCTTTGCTGGTTTTTAAGTATAAGTTAGACCCGCGTGAAATTGAGGCATTGTGTAATTCGGTATGAGGGGAAATACACACTCATAAAGTTATTATTAGTGGTGGGCCGTTATCAGCATTAACGTGCTCGTTAACGCGAGACTTTTATCGCGCGATAAAAAAAAAATATCGCCGTTAATCTATTCTCAACGTTGGGTTGGGAGCTGGGTGACTTTCATGCTTTGGTAACGTTAGTTTAGCGCGGATGTATACCTGACCAGTGAGCCGTCTGACAAACAAGTGCCCTTCTGAAACAAATCAGCAGGATGCCTGACTTTAACTGCAGTTCGGCAGTTTCACTTTAACTCATGAACATTTCATTCATCCCGCGTGACAAACTGGGGTATTAGACGCAAATAAGAAGCAAGAACTGATGAGAGTGTTATGGAATTCAATAACGCTCACCAAATAGAACGAAAAAAAAAAACTTCCGCATTTCGCGACGTGTGTTTGTGTGTAACAGAGATAACAGAGTGATACAGTAAGTGTGTGACATTTAAAATTATATATAGTGTTTAAACTCATGCGTTTTAGGCATCAAATACAACGTGTACCTTAAAGCACACAATTAAATGTTTGTTGTAGTCGAGTTGAACTGTCATGGATATTATACTTATGAACGTCTTTTCAACTTGCAGATTCAGCCAAGTTCACTTTTAAGAACCTCAACGGCTGCTAATATGAAGATATAAATATGAGTTGTTCTTCCACAGTCCTAAAATTCTTCAAACTAACTGTCAGTTCGAATCATTATAGCAAATAATACTTTCATTACTATTAGGAGATCAGGAGTTTTATTCTAATGAAGCCTTGATAATAGAGTGAACACAATGCATAACACATGGTGTTATCACAAATGAAATCTTTTTATGTAGATTTTGAGTCTGAGTGTTTTGCACATATAAGGTTCACTGATATTTTGCTTTGTTGACTTCCAGGTTCTTTCATTTTGGTTATAAGTACATGGTACAGGTAAATTCTTAGATTCAATCCAAACTGAATTTGAATTGATATGGACAAATGAAATAAAATACACTTGGGATTTTAAATGTTTTCATTTTTTTATTATTCACAACGTTTGTGAAGTCTAAATGTACACTGTCTCAAACTGAATGAGTGTTATTTTTGTTGTAGGTGTGTTGGTGTAAAATTGATGCTGACTGGTCAGTACTGCATTTTTAACCATAACAATAATGATTTATATTTAGCATTGCATCTATTGTCATTTTACCAAGAATGTGTTTGCTCTTTCAGAACTCAGGCAGTTGTGCTGGACCTTCTGTACTTTATACAGGAGATGACAGTAAACTTTCAAGTTTAAGAGGTAAAATGGTCAGGGTTTTTCTGTTTGATTTTGAGTGTTTTGTAGATATAAGGTTCACTGATATATGATATAAGATTTGCTTTATGTTTATGCTGTCATTTTGGTTATAAGTACAAGGTACATGTACATTTTCACAGCAATCTAAATTAAAATCTTAAATTCAATCCAAACTGAATTTGAATTAATATGGACAAATTAAAACACACCTGGGATTTTAAATGTTTTCATTTTTTCTTATTTACAAAGTTTGTAAAGTTTAAAAGTAGACTACATGCTGCATGTTTCAAACTGAATGAGTGTTATTTTTGTTGTAGGTGTGTTGGTGTAAAAATTGATGCTGACTGGTCAGTACTGCATTTATTAACCAAAAAAATAAACAATGATTTATATTTAGCATTGCATCTATTGTAATTTTACCAAGAATGTGTTTGCTCTTTCAGAACTCAGGCAGTTGTGCTGGACATTCTGTACCTTATACAGGAGATGACGGTAAACTTTGAAGTTTAAGAGGTAAAATGTTCAGGGTTTTTTCTGTTTGATTTTGAGTGTTTTGTATATATAAGGTTCACTGATATTTTGCTTTGTTGACTTCCAGGTTCTGTCATTTTGGTTATAAGTACAAGGTACAGGTACATTTTCACAGCAATCTAAATAAAAATCTTAAATCTTACGTTCAATCCAAACTAAATTTCAGTTGATATAGACAAATGAAATAAAATACACCTGGGGTTTTAAATGTTTTCAATTTTTTATTATACACAAAGTTTGTAAAGTATAAAAGTAGACTACATGTTGCATGTTTCAAACTGAATGAGTGTTATTTTTGTTGTAGGTGTGTTGGTGTAGAAATTGATGCTGACTGGTCAGTACTGCATTTTTATAAATAATACAAAAAAATATGTGTTTGCTCTTTCAGAACTCAGGCAGTTGTGCTGGACCATCTGTACTTCATACAGGGGATGACAGTAAACTTACAAGTTTAAGAGGTAAAATGTTCAGCGTTTTTGTTTGATATTGATGCTTTTATTTTTATTATTTGGCAAAACCAATTACTTGTACCTATATTTTTACTAAGTGTTTACAGGAACACATTTTGCTTCAGTAATTTTGAATTTTGTTAACATGCATTCAAACTAAAAGTACTGGGTTGATGTGGGTGTTTTATCTGGGTTTTTTTAAGCTGCTACTGTAATCTGTTAAATGAATAAAGCAGTTATTTATTATTATTATTTATTTTTAAAACATTTAAAATGTTACAAGTTTTTTATTTTGGTAATGTCTGTTTAAACTGATAAGGAAATAACTGGTCCACTGCTGAATCTCTTTTCTTTTCTCTCTTAGCCACCTGATGATGAGAAAGACATTTTCAATGTGGGCATCTTGATGGTGAGCCAGGCCTTCATGCTGATTTTGTGACCATTTAATCTATTTATCGTGATTGTGATAACAACATTTTTTTCAGGATGCAAAACTGGCTAAAAATCAACTTTAAATTTTAACATTAATTGTATGATAGTGTGGTTGATTTAACATTTTATTTAATGTTGGGTTCATTGTAAAAAATAATTCAATTTTGGTTGAATAAATGCTGATTTTGGGACAGTTTTGTCTATTTATCATCATAGAATTAACATTATTTCAGGGTGGAAAACTGCCTAAAAATCAGTGATGACTTTTAACATTGTTTCAATGATAGTTTGATTGAAGTTTTAACATTTCAATGTTAATTTAACTTAGGTCTGCTATCTGGAAAAGAACTAATTTTAAAAATGCAAAAAACTTATGAATGTGCCACTTGAATTTGGTATCACATGTTATTGGCATGTTATGGAATTTAACTATGGCAAATAAGTAAGAGGAGATGAAAAGCTATGATGTCTACACGTTTTCCTGAAACATTTGCAAGGTCAATTCTTTCTTGCATAAAGATAGTGGAAAAGAAGAAAAAGTATAACAAAATGGTTTGTCGTTTTTTTTATTTTGTTGTCTTTCCTTTATTGTTTGCCTTATTTTTGTTTCTGCACTTTATTTATTTGATTAAGTAAATAATTTTTTTTAAATTTCTTTTAAATTATGTAGCAGACATGTATTTGAATAATTTTACATAATAATTATATTATTTATAATATTATTAATAATGTTAATAATTTAACATAAAGGTGTGCATATATGTACCCATATATGTACATATAATATAGGAAAACAGCCAATTTTATATGTGTCACATATATCAAAAACCTATATTAAACCATATGTTTCTTTCCATATTCTTTTCATGTGGGCGTGTACCAGACCCAACACACAACTCACTTTTTTTTTCTTTTTTTCAGAAGAAGAGTCCACAGTCACAATAACAAGATCATTGAGCTGTCCCCTAATTGTGGTCAGCTACATGTTTAGTCTCTTATGTGCTAAACATTATGTAGCCTAAGGAAGCAGCCCTGACTCTGTAGTTTATATAAAGGTATGTTTTTACATTTAAGTTTATTTCATTTTTACAAGACAAGTAAGGTGATGCATGTTTGTTGTATTTACAACAGGAGCATGCCGAGTAACTATCCAGAACGTAGGTCCAAAGCAGAAAAAAGGGCACCAAGCAGAAACATACCATCTGAACTCCTTCGATTCCTGTCAGACCAGAAAGACTTTCAGAATCCTTGGAAGATTTAAAGGTAATTAAGCACACCGATAACACTTTATAATAACTAAACACTATTGATTAATTTATTAAGCATTAGCAAAAAGTTCTGTTAAGCATTGACTCTACATTAATAGACCTTAGTATACAGTTTATAACTACAGCTGTAAATGCTGTAATCTTGACTTATAAGCACATCTATAATGTGCTTAATTATTTTGTTTTCATATTTTGTTAATGATTAATTTTTCATTACTAAATTTAGTATCGCATTATTTACAAACCAGTGATTTAAGAATAGTTGGTGTATTTTTTTTTTCAAATCATTCAGAATGTGTAAGTAAATGGTTAATAAACTATTCAAACTAACATTTAAATATCTTATTATTCAGGCATATAGTAATAGTTGGGCAGCACAGTGGCTCAGTGGCAAGCACTGTCGCCTCACAGCAAGAAGGTCGCTGGTTCGAGTCCCAGTTGGCATTTCTGTATGGAGTTTGCATGTTTTCCCCGTGTTGCTGTGTGTTTTCTCCGGGTGCTCAGGTTTCCCCCACAGTCCAAAGACATGCGCTATAGGGAAATTGATTAACTAAATTGGCTGTAGTGTATGAGTGTGTTTGTAAATAAGTGTGTATTGGTGTTTCCAAGGGCGTACTCAAACACACAGCAACACGGGGAACATCAAAAGTGGCTGATCTGATTTTTTTTTTATATATATATATATATATATATATATATATATATATATATATATATATGAAAATAGTCATGTAAAATCAATCATTAAAGTTTGTTAACACAATTATTAAGCACATTATAAATGTGCTTAAGTCAAGATTACAGCATTTGTAGCTGTATTTATAACCGACTGCTAACATCTATTAATGTAGAGTCAATGATTAACAGAACTATTGACATGCTAGGAATCACCCCAGTTGTAAGTGAAATGTCATTAGTAATGTTTTTTTTTTTTTTTTTTTTACAGCCATTGAAGTATCAGTATTGGAGAGGAAGAAGACCCAGTTGTATCGTCTATTTCCTGCCATCTTGCAGTTAACCTGGTTTCTTAATGTAAAGTACTTGTAATTTGCCCACTTGTCCTCAATTATCTTAAAGCTAACATTTAAAACTAATTTGCTATGAGATTATTTGCCAAGACTTGTCACTGTGCGATTCACATGTCAATATGTATTATTGTGTGTATAACTAGCTATTTGGAATTCAAATGATTTGTATTCATTAAAAAATCTGTTTTAATTGCAAAGTTGTTTTTGTACTAATCATTGTAAGTTCATAGATAACAAACTATTTACTGCTTCTCTACACATACAGTATAGAATAAATGTTTTGTTTTACTATTGTAAACCATTAATAGTGTATTTCCCATATGTATATGTTTGTCCTTACCAATTGCCATTTCTATGCTGCTTGAAGAGCATTAAATTAGTAGAATAATTATTTTTTACAGTAGGTATCCCATTAAAACAAAGAATCTGTTATTTTTTTCACTGTAGGTATACTATTAAAACCCAAAAAACTCCTCTTTTTACAGTAGATATACTATTAAAATACAGAATCTGTCTGTTTTTTTACAGTAGGTATACTATTAAAACACAAAAAAGTCCTCTTTTTACAGTAGGTATACTATTAAAACACAGAATCTGTCTGTTTTTTTACAGTAGGTATACTATTAAAACACAGAATCTGTCTGTTTTTTTACAGTAGGTATACTATTAAAACACAGAATCTGTCTGTTTTTTTACAGTAGGTATACTATTAAAACACAGAATCTGTCTGTTTTTTTACAGTAGGTATACTATTAAAACACAGAATATTTCCGCTTTTTTACTGTTGGTATACCCTTTAAAACAGAAAATAACCGTTTTTTTATATAGAAAACCCTTAAATTACTATAAAATGGTTGGTTATTTAACAGTAGTTTAACTGTCAAAAAACTGATATTTTTTAGTTTTTTTAATGTGGACACACTGTTAATTAACAGAAGTTTTCCGTTTTTAATTTACGGTAAAATATTTGTGTAATGAGCTGCCAGTACATTTTACCGTTTTTTTACGGAATTTTTTTTTAGAGTGTAGAGTTTGTCCTTATTCTTCGGGTAAACAGGACACCGGCACCCATAGAGCAGAATGGGGATAATTACTCTGCTAAATTGGGAAAGTGTTGCTTAAATCTGAAGAATAAGGAGGGATAAATGAATCCCGCTCGCGGTGGCGTTTACTCCATTTGCACACCTGACACTAGTTATAGCCTAATAAAAATGTGCAGCCGTTCACACCGTGCCTACGGCGTTTTCTAATTAGTGGAGTCTTAATGAATGAGATCCGCAATATCATTTCTTACACTTCCACCATGTGAGCACTTAATGGAGCAACAGCGAGATCTAATTCGCTGAATCTCAAAAAGCACAACTTCATTTAATTGCAAACGCTCCTCGGTGACCGCCGTGGTCTTTAGGAGGTTAATAATAGTCAACTCGTCCACTGAGTTTACCCACAATTACTCAAAGCTCATTCACTCTATACATATGCATGAACATCAGTAATCAAATTATTTATCTTAATCTGAATAAGGCAATAGTTTAATTACACTGTATATATGAGATACTTTTAGAGTGATCCCTTTTGATATGTTATAGTATATAGTAATAGTAATAGTATCTGACAAAAGTCTTGTCATCCATCCAAGTTTTAGCAGCACTTCATCATTTGGTATCAGAAATGGCTTACATGAAAGAAAAAGGCCTCTAGATTATCAATAATGTTCATGTCTGGTGACTGGGCTGGCCAATCCTGGAGCAGCTTGACCTTCTTTGCTTTTAGGAGCTTTGATAAGGAGGCTGAAGTATGAGAAGGAGCGCTATCCTGCTGGAGAATTGTCTCTCTCCTGTGGTTTGTAATGTAATGGGCAGCACAGATGTCTTGATACCTCAGGCTGTTGATGTTGATCATCTCTCGCACGCCCCCATACTGAATGTAACCCCAAACCATGATTTCTCCTTCACCAAACTTGACTCATTTCTGTGAGAATCTTGGCTTCATGCTGGATCCAGTTCATCGGAAAAATCGATCTATAATATGCATAATAATAATGTTATTATTTTATAATTATCAATAAAATTAAATCAACATATGATGGAGTTTCAAATCAAAATATGACTCCTACTTGTTACACATTTTAGAAGACACAAGAGAATACTGAAATAAATGATATTTCAATATTCCTTTAAAATATAAGATCATATTGTGGAAATCCTGCCAATTATTACTTCTATTATTACATTTCTTTTTCATTTCATGTTGCCAAAAGAACTTATTAATATGCAAATTAGAGTAGATATAGTGTATAGATGCACAGCATGTAATGGCAAAACCCTATTATGATTATTTCACACACATGCTGCATGAAACATAATGACAAGCCAAATAGTTTTTCATCATCTTTCATAGAATAACCTTTAAAGAAAAAATCTGTTCTTTATTTTCCTATCTTTTTATGTCACTTTATTTTTTGAAACAAGCGAGTCATTATGGAGACTGCAGTGGAGACTGCATACATGTAACGTAAACAATTTCTTCTTATTTTTGATTGTTAATTAAAAATAATAAAAACATGAAAATAATAACCAATGTGATGACATGGAAAAAAAACTAAATTCACAAAACTCTCTTGAGGATATAATCCTCTTTATATTTTTTATTTTAAAACTTTATTAATCCCCTTGAGGCAATTAATTTAGGCCTTTGTGGTGCTTCAGAAATATTTAACCAGCACTTAACACAAAGAAACTAACACTCAAACAACACCAAATGCATTATAAATAATAAAAATAAATAAATAAATAAATAAAAATGTAAAAAAAAAATTAATATGTAAATAAAAAATTTAAATAAATAATATAAACAATCAAATGTAAATAAATAAAACGTAAATTAATAAAATAATAAAAAAATTAATAAAAGTAAATAAAATAATAAAAGTGTAAACAAATAAATGTGCAGATGAATTAATAATACAAACTAATAAATAAACAAATTTAAATAAATAAAAATATAACTAAACAAATGTAAATACATAAATAAATAAATAAAAAAGTAAATAAATAAATAAGTCAACAAACAAATAAATAAAAGAATAAAATGTAAATAAATAAAAACTTAAATAAATAAATAATACAACAAACAAAAAATAAATAAATAAAATTTAAATAAATAAAAATAATAAATAAATAAAACATTTAAATACATAAATAAATAAATAGATGAATATTTTTTATAAATAAATAACATAAATAAATAAATAAATAAATATGTAAATAAACCAATGTAAAGAAACAAAATGTAATAAAAATGTAAATAATTAAATAAATAAATAATACAAACAACAAACAAATAAATACATTTTACAATAATTATATAATCATTTTGTTTCAAGCACAAAAATTAATATTATAATTCATTATATTTATTGTTATTATTATTATTATAATTAAGCTAAAACTGACAAAATGCAGAACCATTTTGATTGTTTGCTTTCATTTTGACATCTAAAAGCGCACTTTTACAGTTTTACAGGACTTTACCAGTCACGGAAAAAAAATTGCCTTAGATAAATCTTTATTTTTACCTTTAAAATTATGAAAAAAGTTATATACTGCAGCCTATTGAATTGCATGTTATGCTAAAATTGAACCAGTTTTCACGGTAATAACTGTAAATCTAGGTATCTTTTTTTAGGTATCTCTCTGGCTACACTAATGCCTTAAAATGCAACTAAATCATTTTTTAAATGACATTAGATTGTAACATTTAACTGGTTGGGTAATAGGCTACGTGAAGCGTGATGACTCGGTCAGCTGATTTCACTATATTTATTTACCGGTTATACCAGCCTGATCTAGCGAGGAAAAGTATTTTACGTTTTGTCAGTTTAGTGGCTAATTCGTACTAGATTTTTGTACGAGTTTAATCGTACGATTTTATAAAGGAGGCGTGGCAACCAACCCCACCCCTAACCCCAACCGTCATCGGGTGATGAGCAAATCGTACTAAACTGTACCAATTAGATCGTACGAATTCATATGATTTAGCCACTAAATCAAAAAGTTACAAACTGCCGTGAGATAGCGTTGGTTATACGAATAGTCTAACAGTGGATTAGCTTGCATGTGTGGGCGTGATTGAAGTCTCTTCCTAAAACTTTAAACATTTATAGGCCTATTATTTGAAATAAAACGGAAAGAAATAAGGAGAATAAAATATGATTTAAAGCACTCGTTCGGCACTGAAGCCATGATCCGTCTGTGTTAATAAGCGGTATTGTTGCATAACCTTCATTGATGAAATCAGTAATAGCGAAACTGTGCATATTAATATTACTATAAAAAAAGGATAATCACTGCCTTAAGTCAGTAACTTAGGCAGTAATGCAAAGTAATAATAAATGTGAACAAATAGCCTAAATGAAAGGAACAAGAGGGACCAAAATCAGTCAACGGGTCTAGTGCCCCCTATGGGATTAAAACGCACTCTCAGTTATGACATCCTACAGCCTGAGCCATCTTTGATGTGCCTTCAGGGGCGGACTGGGACTAAAAATCAGTCCTGGCACTGTAGCCACACCAGCCCACATTACCACACCGACACAGCCCCATGCACGGACACGCACATTCACTACTTATATTGGTGAAATAATATAAGCAGTACCATATATGTAATAGATATTTAAACCTTTAATGTATGCGACTGGAACAAAAACACATTTATATATGCAATCGTTTCATTCATTCATTATCTTTTCGGCTTAGTCCCTTTATTAATCTGGATCACCACAGCGGAATGAACCGCCAACTTGTCCAGCATATGTTTGACGCTGCAGATGCCCTCCAAGGTGCAACCCACTGTGAAACCTCTATACACACACATTCAGATACATGCACTATGGACAATTAAGCCTACCCAATTCACCTACAGCACATGTGTTTGGACTTGTGAGGGAAACCAGGAGGAAACCCATGTGAACATGCAAACTCCACACAGAAACACCAACTAACCCAGCCGAGGCTCGAATTTTAGGCATTGAATTACTTATTTTTTAGCTTTCTCTGAGCTTTTCGGCACCGCCTTTCCTTTTTCATGGTCCATTTCTGACAATTAGCTTGTGTTGCACTTACTATTTTTTGACATTCTTGCCAGATTTTGATTACGTCCGCGTAACCTCTAATTGGGTCTGCCTATCTTGACCAGCCGGTCATTGCCGATTGGGCCAATGCTTAACATTTATTATTATTATTACTATTATCATCGTCATCATCATCATAATACTCACATCTTGCAAGAGATAAAAGCTGCTTGCATGTAAAAACAATACATATAAACAAAATTAATAAAAAAAATTGCTGACCGGCCCACATTTAAAAAATGGTCCGGCCC